CGCCCCGCCCCTCCCCGGAGAGAGTGTCGCTCGCTGACTGATTAGCAAGTATACGCCCCCGCTGTTTTCGCTTACCTTTTTTCAAGGTCGCCGACAGCGGGTGCCGTCGCGCCGTCGGCTCGTGTCAGCGAGAAACGTGAAAGAAATGACGTCTAATCTATGTTTATTCAAGAAAAAGAAGGGGAAAAAATAAATGGTTGTAATTTTACAAATATATTTGGCAATTTTTTTACAATTTAATGTTTGTGAAATTGCCAACTGAAAACAACTGCAAAAAATATCACAAACATATTGTGAAAATTGAGAATCCTGCGATCTGGAATATGCAAATGTTGATATGAATTTTCAATGCAACCAGGATTGTTAATTTCCAACCCCATGGGGGTTGGAAAAGCCATCAAAGAGTGACCACATTGTGGTCGCGCCGCACTGAACGTGTTGTTAAAATACGCCTGTACATTGTCTGTTCGCGCAGGATGGCGCTCGCGTCCGGCCTGGTCCCGGGCTTCCCCATGTCGGCGTCCGCCTTCTGCACGCTGTGCCTCTACAAGGACGGCGCCGCGGGACTCCACCACCAGCACCACCACGGCCACCACCACCACCACCTCCACCACCACGACCACCAGCAGCTCGGCCACGAGCTGGTCCCCCCCGCCGTGGAGCCGCCCGCGAGCCCCGCCAGCCCGCCCAGCCCGGCCTCCAGGTCGACGGGGCACCCGCCGCCACCCTTGTCGCCGTGAGCCTCCGTGCATCGCTGTTAGTGCGAAATATGGGATCTCGAAACCCTTGAAACGATATCGTAAAGACGTGTTCAAGCTTATTGCTTTGACATTGACGGTATTTTCTGTATTTTCTCACTGGGCGTCGTCGCCGATGTGCCTTCCTTGGCCGCCTTTGTGCTTCGCCATCGCCACTTGTAAAGATTTTTCTTAATTGCTTCTCTCCTCTCTTTTCTTACGTTCCTCTAGTCATGACGTTCCTTTTTTATCGCTTATTATACAATTACTCTATCTCTTTTAATTGTTAATGTGCATGTTAATAATAAATATAATTAATGCGAGTTACGTCGATCATACTTTTGTTTACGTACGTACGTTAATAAAATTTAACAGAAATTGACTTCGTTGTTTTTTTTTTACTTTCCAATAACGTCGTGAGCAGCAGAGAGAGCAGGAGAAGGGTCGGTGCTCCATCGCCACCGAGGAGACGACGACCGACGACACGAGAACGAGGACGAGGATGTGACACTACAACATCCCACGCTAAAGGGTATGATAACCCCCAAAAATGTGATAAAAGTATCACATTATTGTGATGAAATTATCACAAAAACTG